GTGGAGAGAGAATGAAGTCAAAGGGGCTGAAATGCCACACGCATGCCAAGTTCACACACTCATCAGTCATGATCTTGACAGCTATCCTCTGAAATATGCCTGCTAACTGTGTGACCCACCTTCATTTTCTTACAGAGTAATTCCTCTGTATCAGAGAGGATATATTCTGAGACACCCAGGGGGTGTCTGAAACTGTGGGTAGACACACACACACCCCACAAGCCCTAACACACGTTTTTCCCTGCACATACTGTAACCTGTGGATATGCTGGACAAAGGAACGATTCATGTCCTGGGCAGGGCAGAGCAGGGCAGCACAAGACTTGATCACAGTACTAAGGACACTGTGCAATTCAAAACTTATGACTTGTTCATTTCTAGAATTTTCCATTTTATATTTTCAGAGCTGAGTTGATCTTGGGTAACTAAAACCTTGGGAAGCAAATCCCTGGAGGTGGGGAGGGCTACTGTACGAGCTGTATGGCATAACAGATGGAACATGTTTTCATTGGAATAAGGATTTTGAATGCATTTCTATGGGTATTAAGAAGGAATTATCACATTTAAGTGAATTATCTTCAGAATCCCAAGGAGTGAGTAAATAGAAAAGACGTGCGGTATTTCTAAATACTGTACAACTAATTACCAATGTCTAAACATCAGGCTACTTTTAGTAAGTAAACCAATTGATTTCAAACAAGCTGCCCACTTAATTAACATAGAAACCTCAGGGCAGAAGACGTTCTCCACCTCTGAGGCTTGCTTCAAACCTTCATGTAGACACATGGCCGTAACACTCTTCCTCATCCTCCTGGTAGCTTCCGAAAGGGACAGAGTCCCTCCTCTAATGAAGAGAAGCCACTGCAAACAAGCGGTAGCATAGGCCATAAGCTTCCTGAGGGCTGAGGTCGGTGCTGAGTTTACATAATCAGCGTAGACCGATACATCCCCGGCACACTCCCGGCACTCGGCGATTTGCTGAATGAAACTGGTGAGCAAAGATCAACGTCTGCAGGAACGATCAAGTCTCCGCTCCACACACCACGAGACACACATCTCCACACGGCAACAGGTGGCTCCTGGTTTTCATTGTTGTGAAGGTTAAGAAGCTGATGACAGAAATATTAACTCCCGGAAGCCCTCTGCAGGCATTCATCGTGGTTACTATGCATTCACAGAGATCTGAAAGCACAGTGGGAAAACCACTAGGCATGTGGGCACTTTCGAAAGCAGGAAGCCAGGAGCATGGGGAGGCTGAGAACTGATGTTATTTTAGTATTTTCTGCCTTCAAAAAATCTCTTTGAAATGCTATAAGAACAATATTTTCTAAAATGCACACAAGCCCCAGAGGAATGAGCCATGAAATGTGCCCTTTTCCAAATGAACACTGTTGGAGTGAGCACCTATCCCACTTATGAGGCACGTTTTAGCAACACATTTGGTAAACAGCAACAGCAGAGTCATTCTGTGATTTGTGTGATGTTTAAAGTGAGGACGAAGGCCCTGTCGGGAGCCTCGTGTGGGCCGCCACATCTGTGGGTGGCTGTCGCAGGGGGGAGCCAGTCCCCTGCACCTGTCCTCCCTCAAGGCCAGCAAACACCAGCTGCATTCTCAGTTGCTCCATGCCTTGGAAAACATTCTCGTATTTGGCCACAAAGTTGTAAAAGATCATCCCTTTTTGTAAAAGACCCAGGAGGCCCTTGTGAGGAGGAGCCAGTCACATGTCAGGTGTCCCCAAAAGTTCCAGAACCATGTTCCAGCACTGAAGGTGAACACTCACTGTTTGGGCATCTTATTTGCTATTTCACAATGAAGGCAATTCACTTCCAATTTAGTTTCCAAATTGAAAGCATGTTTTTGGTAAGAAACTGGTATGTGGAGGGAATTCTGCAATGTCCACGCAGAGGACACCAGGATTCAGTGCAGCTCCATGGCCAGAACGCCCGCGTGCGCTCCTGGGGACGGACATGTGTCCCACGGTGCTGTCAGCAAACCTGTGTTACAAGTGAATGTAACTCACTGCGGTCTTCTCTTCAGATCACAACCATTCAAAATGGTAAGACAAGAGGAGGAAACATAGAAGGCCATGTGCCTGGGCTTAATACAAACCACTGAGCACACTCAGCCAAGACAGAATGAAGACGACACAAAGGGCTGCCCCGGGCTCCCAGCTGGACTCTCCTGAGCACAGGGCGTGGGCCTCACACCGGAGAGTCTCGTCCCTGCCACAGAGGGTGAGTGCTGCTGCCTCTCCTTTTGGCTAACATACTGTTCCCTAAAGTTCTTGACGATGAATATGGCCCAGAATGCAAAATGCTGGCACCCTGAGCCCTCACACAAACCTCCTACACCCACGTTTTCACAGGTAAGGTTTGCGTGAGGGCTTGGCAAGCCTAGCTTTTATAAGTGGCCCAGATGCTTCTTAGAGCATGGGAAAGAATCAATAGTCCTGTTTGGCAGCAGCCAAGGAAAGTCAGCCACAATGAACAGCATGAAAACGGGTCCAGTTAACCCCAAACATGCCTAGAACACTGTTTACACACCTGTGTGATACAACTGGGAAAACCAGGACAACTTCGTTTCTAAGCGAACCAATGTTCTGAAAAACATTTACACTGAAGATTTTCTTCATTTAACAGCTAGATCTTGATTCCTTAAAAAATCATTACTTTTTCAAAAAAAATATGCAGTTCTCTAAAATTGTTAGGTAGTTTCGGTGTCAAATTTGGCCAGAGCCTAGTCTCTGGGGAAGAGCGTGCATTCACTCGGCAATACTTCTTAGCCATCTCATGCTTGGTCCAGACTGAAAACTAAGCTCTTACTAACGCATGCAATTGCTTTATTCCCTGTTCACTCTGTATTCTAGAATCACAAGCTTTTTATATTACAAGAAGAAAAAGACAGGTAAGAGTACAGCCTCTGTAGAGCTTTCTTCTCAAGCACCGCACTGTTCTGCCATGGGACCTGATAAACTTGACAATCACACAGTAACCACAGCTGCCCCTCAGTGTGTGCCCCAGATGCGTGCCCAGCGCTTGGAAATTGGTTTACCTGCAAGATCCCCAAGCCTCACAACAGCGTTGATGGTGGCACTGCTCACCCATTACTAAAATTAAAGCAAGGGGCTCAGAAAAGTCACCAGGAAGAAGACTCTGAATCATTTTACCCAACAACCCCTGTGCTCAGTGCCGGGAAGACAAGGTAACCAGAAGCAGCCTGGACGGAGGATCCTAGCAAAGACGCCCTGTGTGAGGGGCACCTCAGGCGAGGGTGAGCTTGGGGTCAGCTGGTGACAGGGGTGGGACCAGCCTCACATCCAGAGTCTGCAGAGAGCAGGTGGTAGGGAGAGCGCAGTTCTGCAGATTTTGGTTCTAAACCCGTCTCTCTGTTCTTTGCCAAATGCGGCCCCAATGCAATGATGAGGGCCTCCATTCCTGTGCTTTTATGACCGATTTAAAAACAACAAGCAAAGGATGACCATGGCGTCTTCGTCTCCTTCCTGAAGGAGCACCAGGCTGTGTCCTCTCCACCATGGGAAGGGGATCCACGCCGGTGAGCGCTGCTGCACCAGGCTGGGTCCTCTCCACCATGGGAACGGGGTCCACGCCGGTGAGCGCTGCTGCACCAGGCTGGGTCCTCTCCACCATGGGAAGGGGGTCCACGCCGGTGAGCGCTGCTGTACCAGGCTATGTCCTCTCCCCCATGGGAACAGTCCACACCATTGCAGGTTGCTGCACCAGGCTGTCTCCCTCCACTGGGGGAAGGGGGTCCACGCAGCTCAATGCTGCTTCTCCAGGCTGTTCCATCTCCTCCTTGGGGAAGCAGTCCGCCCGGGCAGTGCTGTGCCTGAAAAGCAGAGCTGTCCTTCTATTTCTCCGTGTGCCAACTCAAACTAAATCCCCAGGAAAACCACCAAATCCAGTACAAAGGGAACACTTGTCCGGGGGTCATAACATTTGGTTGGAAATCCCTGCACACTCTCGGTACACTCTAACATCCTAAAATAAGCCTGCTGTGTTCAAGGCCACACCCGTTCTAAGAGAAGAAGCCTGCCAGCTGCGTCCGAGAATGAGGGGGAGGCTCGGAGCATGTCCGGGCCACCCTTGTGTCCACCGCACAGTCCGTAAACACATACGACAGAGTGCATTTTGTAGGCTTTGGGCAAATCCCTGAAGGAGCCTGATACTGCGATGAGCTGAAGATTCCAGCTGCAGCTCACTGGTGTCACCATAGAAACAAGACACACTGGAAGGTGCAAGGCACAGTCAAAGCACTGAAAAATTTAAGCCTCAGCAGAAACAGAGAAAAGCACTTGAAGGTGGTTTTTTGTTTTTTGTCTTTTAACTCAGAAAAACATTTAATTATTCATTCTCTATACTGACAGGAAACCCCCAGTTTTACCGTAAATACTGGATTCTCCATTCCTGCAGCTCACAGCGGGCCCACCTTGCAACTTCCTAACTCTGTTAATGGAGTGGAAATAAATCATTTTTAAGAACACACTTAAAGTTAAAATGCCTTAAAATATTTCATCTTCAGTTGCTAAAAGCTGTACTTATATTGGAAATGCTCATCCGCCCAGCTCTACTGCCCGGGAGTCTCAGCCAGCCCCAGTTCCCCATCCCTCCCAGGGCTCTGTTGCTGAGTGGGCCACATCAATGAGCACAAACTGCCGCCTGCCCACTCCACAGAGCTGCCATCCATCCCTCCCATCCATCCACGAGCACTGGCGGACAGAGGGGCGTGGACTTCAACTCCGCTTCTCGCTTCTTGGATGTGGACAGACCCTTCGACTGGCACCCGTAGAAGAATAAACTCAGAAGTTATTGGCTTTGAGGCCCCTGGGCCAAACCCTGATTCCAGAGCTGAATATTTGAAGAGCCAAAGCAGTAGGTGCCTGCCTGGAATGGCCAACGTCATGTATTCACCTGGAGGATTGTGGTGCCCAGAGAGCTGGTCAAATGCCCGTCTGGCTGTCGATGTGAAGGTGTTTCTGTCCAGTGGGGATTAAAGGTTAGGCTGGTGGACTGTGAGTGAAGGAGACTGCCTTCATACTATGTGTGGGCCTTACCCAGTCTGCTGGCGACCTGAAGAGAAGCCTGTGGTTCCTGAGGAGGAAGGAGCTCTGCCTCATTTTCAGCCTTAGATGCAGCACCAGCTCTTCCCAGGGCACCTGCTCATGGCTCACTCTGCAGATTTTGCACTCACCGCCTCACATTCTGTGAGCTGATTCCTTAAAATCAATCTCTCTCTTTACCCACAAACACCCCTACAGCATCTGTTCACCGCCCCACATGACACAGTGTAAGTGGCTGATCTGGGTTGAACCGGGTTACAAGGCCCCAGTGACACTCCTGCCCTCCAGGAATCCGTCCCTGTGGCTGTATTCTCCCCTCCATGGGTGGGGCCCCTACGCCATCCATTCTGCCAGGAGAGCCACATCTGGGCTCCCAGGCCACGTCAGGACCTTGGGTTCTTCTTTGTCTTCACGCTTCTGCAAATGAACCGTGAAACCTCAGTGCAAGCCAGTGTGACTGCAATTACAAGATTCCATCAATGACTCCAGCCTTCGAGGCTCTGTCTCTGAAGAGGCATGTGGCTCCTCTGAAGTGGGTCCACCTGAGAATGCCACAGAGCTGGCCACAGGCCCCTGTTACCACTGGGACACCCCAGACCCAGGGCCCTCATGCTCCCCGCACACCCACACTGAAATCCTCTGCAGGAACCACGGGGCAAAGAAGGGGAAAGTCCAAAGTCCAACCACAGGCAGGCCAGCCCCAGGATCACTGACTGCAAAGGCTCTGACAGGCCTCAAGGGGCCAAGCAGTCCCTGCGCATCCATGTAGTCACCAAGCACACACATTGCACATCAGCAGAGGCCTGCGCTGGGCATGAAGGGGGCAGATGGCAGGTGCTCCCCATGAGAGTCCCCAGAACATGGAGAGGGGACACACAGGAGAGGCTGCACAGCTGGAGTGCAGTTCAAATGCAATGCTCTCTGACAGTGTCTTTTGTTCCATTGCCATTCTTGAACAATCAGAAAATAAAACATGTGGCAGAAGCAGCAGATGACATGGAACTCCCAGAGGCTGGGTCACTACGTCCCAGCCTGGGATGCAGGCAGCTGTGTGTTAGAGAAGACGAAAAGTGGAACAAGCAGAAGAGAAAAGTGGGGGGAAGGCCAGTGAGGGGACAGTGAGGGCTGGAATTACAGGGGCTGGGGAGGGGCAGGAGCGGGGAGAGAGTCGAGGGCCATGGAGGAGACTCTCCAGAGCTGCAGCTTCCATGGAAGACACTCACCGTCAACAACCTGGACGTCCACCCAGAGAACCGCTTCACCAACTAACAACCTCTCGACAGCCTGCAACACACACCATCAACAACCCAGATGTCCACCCATAAGAACTGCTTCACCAACTAACAACCTCTCCACAGTCTGCAACACACACCGTCAACAACCCAGACGTCCACCCATGAGAACCGCTTCACCAACTCATGACTTCTCCATAGTCCCCAACATGCACCGTCAACAACCCAGACGTCCACCCAGAGAACCGCTTCACCAACTCACAATCTCTCCACAGCCTGCAACACACACCATCAACAACCCAGACGTTGACTCACGAGAACCGCTTCACTAACTCACAATCTCTCCACAGCCCCCAGCACGCACCATCAACAACCCAGACATCCACCCAGAGAACCGCTTCACCAACTCACAATCTCTCTGTAGCTTCCAGGGTCATGATGCAGATCTCTATTTAATACAAAGACATGATAGTGACAGCCAGAGGGACCTACCAAGTGGTACAGCATCACCACAGGCTTTTGGCTGAAAAGCACTCCAGGTATGTGCACACAAAGGTACGTGGATACAGGAAGGCAACACAGCAGAATACCAGCCATCTGGATGGGAGGATGACAGGAGATTTTTCATTCATCTTTGTGACTTGCAAGTAAGTGTTAATAGTTAGCGTCTTACTACACCGAGAAAAGGAATCAGCTGCAGCCATGAAACACTGGCCTCTCCTACGTCCTCCACTAACCCTATGCTCAGCAGACACTCCTGAACTTTTCTGTACAGTTGTTACAGGCAAGGTGTTAGCAATTCAATCCTCATGGACCTCACCTTCAAGTATCCACTCTGGAATTTCAGTGGCCCAGGGGATTGAACAGGTGCTTCCAGTATTTCAGAAAGTGTGATTTCCATGACTGGCAGCAGACACACAGGCTCCCATGAGAGCCGCGGAAGGCCGCACTTCTGGTTCTCCACTGCTGGAGACGGGCCTGGGCTCTGCAGGCTGCCTGGAGTCCTGCGAGTGGGCGGGGTGAAGGTGCCTTTCAGACTGGGGACAAAGATTGAAAAACACCATGTCCTTCAATGCGAAGCTAACATTCTGATGAACGGAGCTTAGAATTCCAAGAATGGAAGATGTTCTTTTAAAGTAACCAGTTTAGCTAAGTACTCCAAGCCACTGGAATACTAAGTTTAAACTGAAATTATACAAAATGATTTTCACATGACACTAAACAGACTTTAGACAAAATCTCCATCAATAAGAGTCCTCAATGAAAATATAATTATTTTCCCTACATTCAGCTTTTTTACCAAATTAATAATAGTAATAACCAGCACCACCTATGCCAGGATAAAAAACTGGAAACAGAAAACAGCTCCCAGGGTGCCCTGGAGTCAGCGGAGCTTCACACAGCACTCTACCTTCTGCCTGCACAGCAGCCTCTGTCAGCCCCGCAGGGCTCAGTTGGCAAGAGGCGAGTCCCCACAACCTCCCGGGCCTGGGGGCTGTCCACTCTCCCCATAGGACCAACTCCTGTGGATTCTCAAACTTCCCACTCTGGCCCTCAATTTCTGAACTGCTTCAGGCATGTGTGCACACCCCTTGTGCTGGCAGTTGGCACAGGCAAACCCTGTCCTGGTCAAAAGCTAAGGAACCCACAAGCCCACCCTGCCGGGCCAGGAGGACCCCAGAGGGCAGGGAGGCAGCAGGTGCTCAGGGGTGTGAGTTTCCACTGTCCCCCAAGTCACTTCCTTCCAGTGACATCACTGACTTCATTCAAGCAGTGGATCCACACAGCTCAGAGCTGCAGCTCTTCGGTAAGAAACTAGCTCACATGTTTCTCCAGCCTCCAAGGGTCTCCCAAACAGTCAAGGTCCCATCACAATGTGGAATCCACACAGCAGCGAAAGAATGGACAAGTATGTCGTAGGAATGTCCTCTAATGTCTTCCAGAGGAAAACACCCTTCCTTTCAAAGATATCCTTTAAACGGCCCTAATAAATAATAAAATCATGAACACAGCATTTATAAGAACAGCATTCCTTGGCCTGAAAATCAATATGAACCAATCATTTTTCAGCACATTTGCAAAATACCTACTTCCAACCCAAATCTGAGCAGTGGCTCTCGGTGCTTTCGGGCTGCATGGCCAGGAGGGTGCGTGCTGGGGGCTTCGGGCAGCAGGAGAGACCCTGAGGTATGGATGAAGCTGACTCTGGGCCCGCCCAGGCCCCTGATGCTGGTGGAAGCCAATGATGTCTCACCCGCCCAGGGCTATGAGGGAGACAAAGGGCTGGCTGGTGTTAAAAAAAAAGACGAGACATTTGTTTTCATAACGAGGTGCTACTCAGGCTGATAATCGTATACAGACCAACAGACCACATCCAGAGAGAGCCAGTGCCAGCCTAGGGGATTTGTTACTTTCATTTTTACTTCCACAGTGGCTACGATGGCCAGAGCAATTGCACAGCCTGCTGGATGAGGGGTGGAGGGAGCGGGGCTGGGGGAGCGAGTCATATTCTGCCTGTTTGCCTTTCGGAGACTGTTGAAGAAGCCACAAGTAAATTTCCTACAACCTGTGATAACACACCACATGTCAGAGATTTTACCACTTTATCCCATCTCAAGGGCATGAAAAACTGAGACAGAAAGACTAACATTCAGCTGCTATCTGAATTTCGGGCAGTGTTACTGGTCAACTGCCAAAGAAGATGGAAATCAACCAACAGCACACAGATAAGGAGGAGAAAAGCTTTTTCACCTGGCTTAGAAAGTCTTGTATGACACAGTCCTGTACCACACCTTCCCCCAACCGACGGACAGACGGATGGATACAGAAGAACTCTTCACGGCAGGTCTAAAGTCTATTAACTAAGCACCAAAGAGGTCCAAGGAAAAGGCAATGAATATTGGCTACCAGGACTGGTACAGAAATTGCAGGGCCTGTTTAAGGGGTGGGAAGTCATCTGTAAGGTAGACCAGCAGCCTCCTTGGTGACATGGAAGCAAAGGTCCCAAAGCAGGCCCTGTAGGGCCAAGTCCACCAGTAGAAATTGATTTTGGCAACAGTGTGAAGGCAGAACCAGAAGGAATGGGACGCAGAGCTGTGAGCAGTGACATACAGCTCTATCCAGGATGGATAACGAGGCCACACAACCCAGGAACCAGCTCTGAGATTGTGCTCTGAGGGTGGACCATGTGAGGGTGGGGACCTGGTGACATGGACATGGAGACAGAGAGGAGGCAGAAGGACCCAGAGCCTTGCACTTGAGCATCTGCTAATGGCGAGCCCATGAAGAGAAATGACAGAGGGAGAAGGAGGGTCAGGAGACAGTGAAATAGATTTGGATGTGGTGTGTTAGTAATAATCAGTCATCAAGGTGAGAATGTCCAGTAGATTTTGGAAGGAGGCTCTGGCAATTTGGAGATGCATCAAGATTAGCATTTAGCTCAGAGGAATCAAAGATGTGATGGGACAGTAGAAGAAATAAGGTCAGATGAAAGAGCCAAAGGAGAGAGCCTAGAAGATGAAGACTGCACAAACAGAACATGGAAAAAAAAAAGGGAGAGAGAGAAAGAGGAGCCACAGGTGTAGTTCACTAACAACTAAATGAAATGTCTGAAATGACAAATAAATCTGCCCAATACTGCAGGAGTCACACACCATTTGATGCTACTCACAGCCTTGAGAAAGGAGCTGGAATGAGGAACACAGCGAAGCCCAGACAACACTGCTGAGGTGGACAGAAGAAGGAAAAGACTTCAAGTGAGTTGGAGAACACAGAGGATGAGGGGAGAGAGTCAGGGATCTCACGTACATGGGGGCAGAAGGGTTCGTTAGCACATTTGTACACTGTGGCAAGAGATTAGTGAGGAAGTAGTGGTTGAAGATGCAAAGACGGAATGATTTATGAAGATCCCACATGACAACAGGATGACTAGAAGAAAATGAGGAACTGACATGCTATCTGGAAAGAATGCATTCATACCTTCAGATGTTTTAGATTAATAATAGGAACAGAGGACCTACATATAAAATGCCAAAACTATCCATTTTTAACAGTTTTTTAAGTTCCTATTGATTCCACCAAGACTTTCATGGGATAGAAGTGTTGCTTTATTTTACACCCAAATATGGTATTTTCACCATGTACTAAAGATAGAGAGGAAAGACCTCAGAATGTTATGATATTGCTATAACCTTTCCTCTTAAATTTGCTTTTGTTGCATCTCATAAGTTTCGGTATATATGATGGTTCCATTTTTATCTTAAGATACTCATTAATTTCCCTTTAATTTCTTTATTGACCCATTGGTTGTTCAAGAGAATGTTACTTAATTTTATTATCATTTGTGAATTTTCTGAAATTCCTCATATGAATTTCTAGTTTCATACCATTGTGGTTAGAAAAGATACTTGATATTATTCCAATCTTCTTAAATTTGCTTAGACTTGTCTTGTGGCCTAACAAATGATCTATCCTGGGGAACGTTCCACATGTGCTTGAAAAGACCTGTGTATTCTTTTGTTATTTTTGGCAATGTTCTGTATTTATTAGGTTCATTTGGTATAAAGTATTGTTCAAGTCCAATATTTTCTTATCAATTTTCTGTTTGTATGATCTTTCCATTATTGAAAGTGATATGCTGAAGTCCCTACGATTCCTACATTGCAGTTTAACTTTCCTTTTAGATCCCCTTCACATTTGCTTTATTTATTAGGTGCTCCATTGTTGGGTGCATATATATTTATCATTGTTATACATCCTTGATAAATTAACCCCTTTATCATTATATAATGTCCTTCTGAATTTCTTTTTACAGCTTATATTTTGTCTTATGTAACTACTCTTTCTCTCTTTTGACTTTCATTTTCATGGAGTATCTTTTTCCATCACTCTTAGGTTATGTGTCCTTAAAAATGAAGTAAACCTCTTGTGGGCAGCATACAGTTGGGTGTTATTTTTTTAAAACATATATTCACTCTACATATTTTGATGAGAAAATTTAATCCATTTATATTTAATGTAATTGTTGATATGTAAGGACATATTATGGCCATTTTGTTTTTTGGTTTTATTATAGATACTTTATTTCTTCCTCCTTTGCTGTATTCCTTTGTGGTTTGATGGTTTTCCATAGTGCTATGTTTTGAATATTTTTAAAATTTTTATTTTTGCATCTTCTTTTTTTGTGGCCTTAGAACAATAGGGGAAGTTTTCCTTTTCTATATATCTCTTTATTATTATTATTATTCTTTAAGTTCTGGAGTACATGTGCAGAATGTGCAGGTTTGTTACATAAGTACACACATGCCATGGTGGCTTGCTGCATCCATCACCCCATCATCTACATTAGGTATTTTTCCCAATGCTATCCTCATCTTATTCCCCGCTACCACTATGTCTCCCCTAGCCACCCAACCCATGACAGGCCCAGGTGTGTGATATCAGCAGAAGAAATGAAATAAAGATCAGAGCAGAAATAGAGGACTAGAAAACAATACAAAAGATCAATGAAACTAAGTGCTATTTTTTAAAAATATAAACATACCTGTAGGTAGACTCACCAAGATAAAAAGAAAAAAGACTCAAGTAAACAAAATCCAAAATGAAAGTGGAGATATTGTAACTGACACCACATGAATACAGAAGATAATTAGAGGCAATTAGGAACAATTACATGCCAAAAAAACTGGATAACCTAGAAGAAATGTATGGGTTCCTAGACACATGCAATTTAGCAAGACTGAATCATGAAGAAATAAAAAATCTGAACAGAGAAAACATGAGGGCAGAGATTGAGGCAGTAATAAACAGCTTCCTATCAAAAACAAACAAAAAAACAAAAAAAAAAACAAACAAGAAAAAAACCAGGACCTGATGGCTTCACTACTGCATTCTGCCAAACATTTAAATAACTATGTAGTTTATGGTGAATTGGTACCATCAGCTACTCCAGTTCATGATAAACTACTCCAAAATAAAAATTAAAGAGAAGAAAATTATTCCAAACTCTTTTTATGCCCTAATGCCAAAGCTAGACAAGGGCATCATAAGAAAACAAAATTATAGGCCAAAATCCTTGATGAACATAGATGTAAAAATACTCAACCAAATACTAGTGAACCAAATTCAACAACACATTAAAAGGGCCATTCACCATGACCAAGTGGAATTTATCTTTGAGATTCAAGGATAGTTCAACATATGCAAAGCAATAAATGTGACATACGACATTAACAGAATGAAGGACAAAAATCATATGATCATCTCAATAGATGCAGAAAAGACATTTCAGAAAATTCAACATCTTTTCATGATGTTGAACACAACAAAGGCCATATAAGACAAACCAACAACAAACATTATATTCAATGGAGAAAAATTTAAAGTTTTTTCTCTGACACCCAAAACAAGCCAAAAATGTCCACTCTTACCACTTCTATTTTATATAGTACTGGAAGTCCCATGCTGAGCAATTATACACTAGAGAAAGATGAAAAATAGAGCAATTGTAAAGAAGTTAAATTCTTCCTGTTTGCAGGTGACATGATATAATATATAGAAAACCCCACAGACTCCACCAAAAATGTTTAAAACCAATAAACAAATCTGGTAAAATTGCAGGATATAAAATCAACATGCCAAAGTCATTAGTGTTTCTCTACACTAACAATAAACTTTCTGAAAAAGAAATCAAAAGAACAATCCCTTTAACAATGGCCACAAAAGTAAAATAAAATAAAATAAAATACTTAGGCATAAATTTAACCAAGGAGGTAAAAGACTTATACACTAAAAACTAGAAAACTTTAATGAAAAATATTGAAGACACAAATAAATAGAAAAATGTCCTGTGCTTATGGATTGAAATAATATTATTAAGTTTCCATAATACCCAAGGGCATCTACAGATTCAATGCAAGCTCCAATGTCATTCCTCGTAGATGTAGAAAAAAACAATTCTAAAATTGTTTGTGGAACAATTTTAGAATTGTTTTTCATGTGGAACCAAAGAAACCTCAAATAGATAAGATGTTCATGAGAAAAAGTAGCAAAGCTAGAGGAATCACACTGCCCGATTTCAATCTATACTACAAGGTGACAGTAACTGCAAAAGTATCATACACTCATGAAGATATGCACATCGATGGGTGGAACAGAAGAGAGAGCCCAGAAATGAACCCATGCATGCACGATCCATTGATTTTCAACAAAGGATCTGAGAATGCACATGGGAAAAGCACAGTCTCTTCAGTAATCATCAAAGATTTACACATCAGACCTGAAACTGCGAAACTACTAGGGGAAAACTTAGTGGGGAAAACTACCTAACATTGATCTGGGTGATGCTGGTTAATTCAAAAGCGCAGGTAACAAAAGCACAGACAGAAAATGAGACTGTATCCAAATAGAAAGCTTCTGCCCATCAAAGAATCAACTGAGTGAAGAGACAACCTACAGGTAAGAAGAAAATATTTGCAAGCCATACCTCTGATAAGTGATTAATATCCAAAATATATAAGAGCTCAAACAACTCTATAGAAATAAAACAAATTATCCAATTAAGAAATGGTCAAGGAAACTGAACAGACATTTCTCAAAAGAAGACACTGGAATGGCCAACAGGCACATGTAGCAAAGCTCAGCATCACTAATCACAAGGAGATACCAATCAATACCAGATCAGATATCAGCTCACACTTGTTCAAATGGCTGTTATCCAACAGACGAAAGATGTCAAGAGTTTTTGATGCAGAGAAATGGGAACCTTGTAAGCTGTTATTGGGATTGTAAATTAGCACAGTCTCTATGGAGAACAGTAGGAAGGTGTCTCAGAAATTAAAAAAAGAATAACAGTATGATCCAGCAGTTCCACTTGTGGGTATTTACTCAGAAATAGAGCTGAAATCAATACATTGAGATGTCTGCACTCCCATGGTCACTGCAGCTCTATTCCCAATGTCCCAGATATGGAACCAATCTGTGTCCATCAAGGGGACAATGAATAAAGGAAGCATGGTGTATGCACACAGCGGAACAGTATTCAGCCTTAAAAAAAAAGTAAGGCTGTCATTTCTGATGACATGCATGGAATGGGAGGACATTATGCTAAGTGAAAGAAGCCAGGCACAGAAAGACAAATATTGAATGTTCTCACTTAAACATGGAGTCTAAAACAACTGAACTCACAGTAGCTGTGAGTACAAGGGTAGTAACCGAGGCTGGGGATGTACAGAGGATGAGATGGAGGTCAGAGAGTGCAAAGCTTCAGACAGGAGGGCAGGTCTGACTGTGTCCAGATCAACAGCACAGCATGCTGGGTACAGTTAATTATGACTATGTCACATTTAAATATTGCTAAGAGTAAATTTCTAATGTTCTCCTCAGAAAAAAATGTTAAATATGTAAGGTAATGGATATGGTAATGAGCTTAATTCTTCTGCACTGTATTCATAAATCACAGCACCAGTTTGTGCCCCATATGTCTGCAACTATAATTTATCAATAGGACACAATAAATAAATAATGAATACATGTTAAAAACGCAGAAGAACTGAGCATTGCTTCCTGGCAGTTTGACAGACCAGAGCTTTTGAAGAGACTTGTCACTATAGAAGACTTACTGATATTAAACAAAATAAATTTAAACGCTATAACTAAGAGTAAATAAAAATAATAAAATGTGATCGAATAATAAGATAAAGGAAAGTTCGTGTGTTAATCATACAGGGACACATGCCTATCAGGAGCTTTTCAACATACAGTCCTACATTATTTTGAGGCACAATTTATAGACAATAAAATGCACCAATATTTTCAAAACCTATGATTTTGCATTTTGCCAGGAACACAAGCACAGTCCTTTATTAGCCACAGAGACACATGACTCACTTTCTATATTAAGCAAACATTCACTGTGGTACAAAATAAGACTTTTTCTCATTAAGGTACATTCATGGTTTTGATATCTAACTTTTATAACTCAATGTAATTGCTAAATCGTGTACTGGCGCTTGCACATGAAATTAATGCTTTTAAATTCTCTTTTAAATGATCTACTTTTGAACTGTGGGCCATAACAAAAGACTAATAAATGCCACGTAATTGCCCCAGCTCAGCCAACCATTAACATCTCATTCTCAACATTTCACTACATCAGTATAATTATGAGGAAAAATGTCATTACTAAATTCATTCTTAAAATATTTATAAATGTATACTTTGTGGAATGAATGAGCTCAGCTCAAAATATTCAGAGCATAAATTTGGTCACTAAAAGGTCAATGCAAACTCGAACGTCATTAAAATCAAAATGACCCCAACTCCCCCATAATATCTGGTTACTTCCTAAAA